AAGATTATTTATATTGGGTCTGAGGGATCTTGCCTATAAAATTTTTGAGAATTAGACGTCCTGAAACGCGATATCCTGACATTTCCCAGAGAATTTAAAGTTACCGTTCAAGGTTTTTTGTATAGGGTCTTTGGTATGTCACTTAGAAAATTTTGAGAATTAATGTATTTAAAAATAACAATTTTAATGGGGGGAGGGGGGCAAGATCTTATTTAGGGGGAGCTACAAGCCTGCCCTCTAACGTCTTTTTCTGCAAGTTCTTGTTTAATTTGGTAAATGTGCCACCAGGGTCTGGGAAAAAGTACAGTCAAGTGACCTAATTTCGTGGAAACCTATTATTCGTGGATTTTCGGAAATGATTAATAATTTACATGAGCGACCTTGCGCGACCTCCGCATTAGTTTATTTTAATAAAAATGGGTTTTCTGTACAATGTCAGCTAGTAGAATGAATCCAGTAATTTCAAGCAAGGTAAAATGTATTAATGTATACTTTGACAAATACAAAATGGCGGATTTCACTTATTACCAAACGTCACCATTTTTTATCAGCCGAATTTCATTATAATCCCGAGCGGTAATCGGAATTCCAAGTGTCGTCTGCTAGAATATAATCCAACGAATGAAGTCACGTGATCAACTAGCGGATTGCATGTCAGCAGAAAATTTCTATGAAACACAAAGTGGACCATATTCTTATGTTGTTTCAGTGAATTTTAGCAATAAATCACGCTACGTCTCATATTTTGTCAGTCACTATTTTTTTTTTTAAATCGTGATTCTTTGAAGGAATTGTCACTGGTTATAATAAATTGATATTAAAGATAAATACTAAGAGAAGTTAATTGTAATGGCCTCACTAGCTCATAGAATCCGCAAAAACTTAATTTATATATTTAATTATCAACAAAAATGGCGTCATACATAAACAAACTATATAAAGATCTTGATAATCCAGTAACTAAAATTATGCAGGGAAACAACTCTATTTCGAGTTCTAATTATTCAGACCACAATACTACATTACTCCTTATCTTTAGATTGGTACAAATACTAAATGCAAAACTGAAAATGAGATTCAAAATGTGAATTAATAACAATTACAATAATCATATTGAATATTTTGAAACAAACAAAACTGACATTATTTCTTTGCCTTACAGTCTACAACATAGTCCTTAAATTTTTCTGGGGCGCGTTTTATCCTTAGAGATTTCCGTGTAGGATTAGTGTTTGTTCCTTGTACATCCAAAGTATTTGTATCGACTTGATTTCCGTTATTCCTATTAATTTGTTCCTGATCACTATGATTATTATCATTTACGGTATTTTCATTTTCACATGCAACACTTTGATTAGGATCTGAATGTACACTATCCTTTTGACTTTGATCACTTTTATTTTTGTCACGCGAATTATAATCTAACAACGTAGAATTTTTGATAATGTCATCCAAATTTGTTTCATCTTCCTCGTCTACACTTCGCGAATTTAAATTATCACTTATTGCAATAACAGATCTTATTGGAATTTCCAACAATTTAAAATGCGAGGCATTTCGCGTAATGCTTTTGCCATCTGATAATCTTGTCGCAGTAATCATTGTACCTTTCACACGTACTACTACATACGGTTGCGGATCATAAGGAGTAGTCAGTTTACATTTTTTCTTGATTTTCACTAACACAGGATTTCCGACAATAAACTTGTGTGGTTTCACATGCCGCTTCTGGTTTGCATACTCTTTTATCTCCCCTTTTTTCTTTGTGTCCTTGGCAAGGTATTCTCGATTTTCAGGAACATCGACTTGAAACGTAGGTAATTTAGTGTTGACTATCCGCTTCATGAACATTTCATATGGAGATTTACCAGTTGAAGTTCTAGGTGTTGCTCGGTAATTCAATAAGAAAGAATGAATTTCCGATCTCCAATCAGCTCCTTCGATATTGACTGTCTGTGCAAATTTAACTAAAGGTTTCATAAATCGTTCCGCCATCCCATTAGCTTCTGGCCATAATGGGGTAACCGGAGAATGTTTACAACCAATGTCCCTCAAATATTGTTTAAACTCGAAACCGTTGAACGGAGGACCGTTGTCACTTTTGAGAGTTTTTGGTATTCCAAACAACACAAATATCTGTAATTGTGGTTTGACAACACGAAATGACGTAGAAGTTACTATTTCAACTACAGGATACCGAGAATATTCGTCAATCATAACTAATGCATACTCGCCGGTAGGAAATGGTCCACAAAAATCTACACACACACGTTCCCATGGATGATTTGGCAGAGTTGTCATAACCAATGGATCTCGATTATGTTCAGGTGTAGCCGCCTGACATGGAATACAATTTTTGATTTCTGAATCCACCATTTTGTCCATCTGTGGAAACCAGACTTTTGACCTTAATAGTTGTTTAGTCAATGTCATTCCTTGATGTCCATCATGGCTTAATTCTACAACTTTACGGCGTAACTTCTCTGGTAGTAGAACTTTGTCACTTCTTAGAATAATGTCGTCTATAATACTAAGTTCGTTAAATATTGATGCATATGGTCGAGTATTCGAATCTGCATGGCAATCACGTTCTCCACCGTTTGCAATGTATTTGCGTAACTTATTTAACGTATTGTCTTTAATGGTTTCGTCATGAACTTCTTTTAGCGTAACGGCTGGGAGTGAACATTGTTTTATTATAGCTCTAACAGTTTCTTCACAATGTTTATAAAAATGTTTATCATCGTCACTATTAGGATCAGGATGTCTGCTAAGATAATCAGCTGGGTTGAATTTTCCTTTTTCGTAGATAAGCTGAAATTCAAATTGTTGCAAGTACAACAACCATCTTTCTAATCGAATGGGTGGTCTACTATTTGGATTATTAAATAATGGTAACAACGGTTGATGATCGGTCACAATTTCAAACTTTGAACCAATAACATACATATAAAGTCGTTCACAAGCCCACCGTGCTCCCAATGCTTCACGTTCTATTTGACTGTATCTTTGCTCGACCTTAGTGAGGGATCTGCTAGTAAATAAAATAGGATGCCAAAATCCATTTTGTTTTTGGGCAAGCATAGCTGCAATACCAGTTGGACTAGCATCAACGTACACTCTAGTTGGTAATGCGGTATTGTAATACGATAATGTAAGATCTCTAGAAAGACTAGATTTAAGTTCATCAAATGCCTGCTGTTCTGTTGGACCCCATTGCATAACAGCATTTTTCTCTGTCAACTTCCGTAGTGGCGTTGAAATTGTTGAGAACTGAGGTATGAATCTCGATGAAAAAGCTAACATACTCAAAAATGATCGAACTTCGCTTACTGACTTGGGCATTTGTAGTCGTTTGATTGAAGCTATTTTTTCTGGATCAGCCTTCATTCCTTGGTCCGAAAACACAAATCCAAAAAAAATCGATTTGTGATGACATAAGTTTACATTTTGATTTATTAAGTGTTAGTCCGCACTCCCGGAAGCGTTCAAATACTGCCTGTAACGCTTGATTATGATTCTGAACAGTTGAACCATAAACTATAATGTCATCTCTAATATTAATTACTCCAGGAATGTCACCAACAGTTTTATACATAATGTCATCGAAAATATCTTGAGATGATATGGCACCATAGTTTAAACGTTTATATCTCTTTTTACCATTAACACCATAAAATGTTGTAAGATGTCTAGATGTCTCTTCCAGCTCAATTTGATGATACGATTCATTCATATCTAATTTGCTAAAATGTTGTGCTCCATTTAACTTAAACGCTATATCTTCCACTGTATGTGCTTCAGTAATAGGCCTCTTAATAGCGATATTGACTGGTCGCATATTAACACAATATCTGATGGAATCTGGCTTATGAGGTTTTGTTGCTATTACAGGATTTGTACACCATGACGTAGCTTCATTAGATGGGACATCCTCAATGATATCTTGATCCATCAACCGTTTCTCTTCTGCCACGGCTTTGTCTTTTAAGTTGTAAGGTACTTTTCTCTGTTTCTGGATAACAGGTATAACAGAGTTGTCGACGATAAATGATGCTTTGTATTTGGTGTGCTTACCTAAACCAGTAAATATATCTGAAAAATTGTCTACTATATTGTCCACAGTATTACACGATGGCTGTACATTATGAACCTGTTTGTTGAATTGGATTAGTCCTAAACTCATTGATGTTGCAAGGCTTAATAATGGACTAGACCTGACCGTACCCTTTACTACAATGAATTTTACAGTTTCTGTTTTGCTATTATTTTGGCATGTCACAATAGCATGAAAACATCCTACCACTGGAACTATATTGTCACCATAGGTGTAGAGTTTAGTGTTAGTAGGTAACAATTTTAATTTATTCTTATTGTCCAGTCTGTCTTGAATTTTGTTAAAACGATCTTCATCCAATAAATTTGAACTTGACCCAGTGTCTATTTCAAATTGAACTTTAACCCCATTTACAAAGATTTTGACAGTTGATGAAAATTCATCTTTATCAGAGTTAATCCAAGATTTATAAACACAGTCCGGATCAGATACATCTTCTTCATAAACCTCCTTTACTCTACTGTGCTTACGATATTTATTTTTAGAACCATGATTGCGAGGCTTTAAACATTTGACAGCAAAATGTCCGTAACCACCACAGTTGTTACACTGAACACCAGATGCGGGACAGTTGTGTCTACCCTGTTGATGGTCGACATTACAAAATGAGCAGTCTGATTTTACATTTTTTTGTTGACTTTTATTTTCTTTTGACCACCGTCTGTTTCTTGATTGACTTCTTGGTGTGTTAGGCCTGGGTTTATATGAAAGGACTTTATTGACTTGACGTTCCCTTTTGGCCTCTATTTCTCCTGCTCTACAGTGAGTATCTTCTCTGCTTTGAGCTTTCTGTAAGAATTTTTGTAAATCATACTTTTTGTCCATAGCCTGTCTTCTAAATTCAGTGTCAGTAATAGTCAAAGCTAGATGATATAAAATTTGTTCATCAGTGTCATTGAATTCACAGTACTGAGACGCTTCACGAAGCCTTACTTCATATTGGTTGATTGTTTCGCCTTCCGTCTGACGCAAATTCCCGAATCGAAATCTTGCATGGGCAGTGTTTTTGAGTGGAATATAGTAACCATTTAGCTTTTCTACTGCTGCTGTGTATGCTGAATTGTTTGCTCCCGTTTCTTCTTCACCCTCACCACTGTCATCAGGTGTTACATCTCTAAGATGTTTGATCTTTTCTCGAATATCACGTCCACCGTAAATCTTCAAAGCATCCAGTCTATCCTGGTCATCGGTGATGCGAAAATAACGAAGACGGGTTTCGAACTCATCCATCCATTTTTCCCCACTTTGGACCGGTTGAAATTGGGTCAGCATCAGCAATGAATGGTGACATCTTAATGTCTCTGCTAGGATTAGCCATGTTGCTGTTTTGGTTTGGTCTGGTTGTATAAACAATGAAATTCTACTATTATTGACTGTTGGTGGATGATGGAAAATGTTTTCCCGCCTTTCAAAATTTACACCTACTTCAAGCAAAAATGAAGAAATTTGTGTCTATTTTTCCACAAATGTCAATAACATTTAGTCTACAAAAGTTCTTTAAACCGGCACCATCCTCGTCGCCATATGTAATGGCCTCACTAGCTCATAGAATCCGCAAAAACTTAATTTATATATTTAATTATCAACAACAATGGCGTCATACATAAACAAACTATATAAAGATCTTGATAATCCAGTAACTAAAATTATGCAGGGAAACAACTCTATTTCGAGTTCTAATTATTCAGACCACAATACTACACTCATCATCTGTGCTAATCATGTCAGTTCCATTTTCCAAAACTAAAGGGGGTATTATTTGCGACACATGTTGGTTAAGTAATTTTTTCAAGGCATTCCAATATGTATTATTGGACGAGACAGCATTGCCGGAGTTTAAACATTCCAGGATTTTATTTTCATACTCCTGTTTTAAAACCTCTTTAAGATTGTTCACTTTATTACGTTGTTTTTTATATTTAATCAGGTCATTTACAGATTTAGATCTTTTTGCAATTTTTCTAAGCCTGTTACGAATGCGAATGTGGCGTCTTATATTTGAATTAAACTAAGGTTTGTCTGAGGGTCTTATAGTAATGTTTTTCTGTGGTATATATTTATCAATGAAGTTGTTCAGAATCTTGTAGAATATTTCGCATGCCGAATTTGTGTTTAAATTGTAAAAAGTATTAATCCAATCGAAATTTTTAATAAGATTGTTTAATAGTTCAAAATTGGCAAGTTTATAAATGAAAATGTTTTTGGTAAAATTCAATGGCTGAGAAACAGCTATATCGAATGTGGCACACACACCTTTATGGTCTGAAATATTTTTTATCAAATTCAATAACTTCAGAGAAATCGCAACATATGGAATCATTTGCTAGTATGACATCAATAAGGGTTGCTGATGAGCTTGTTACTCTAGAGGGCTCATTAACACAGTTCTTTAAGTTATTAGTTAACAAAATTTGGTGTAAAATCGCTGTTGTACTCGTTAGGTCGCCTACGACAAGAACATTGGTTGTGAAATCATATGCAGTTTCTGTAGATCGTTCAAAGTTGGCCCAGAATAGATCATAGTTTTCACTATTTGGGGGTCTGAAGAATGTGCCTAGAAGATACGTAGTGTTCTGTATTTTGAATTCAATCCAAACACTTTCAATCTTGGGGAATTCTAAGTCTAATCTCCTTTTACAAGTTAGTGACATTTTGATTGACATATACGATAACACCACCCCCATAGGAATTTCTATCTTTTCGGATAGGTGTGTGGAAACCTGGCCATGTCAAAGATTCATTTTTTACATTATGATCTAAATGATTTTCGGTAAAGCTACATATTAGATTTTCATCGACATCTTCCTTAATTAAATTAAGTTTATGTCGAATACTTCGTACGTTAAAGTGAAAGATAGAAAGTTTAGGCCTGTACATTTGGGAGAATCAAACCCTCCCTTCCCCGAAACCTAACCCTAGAAGAAGAAAGGTTATATAGAGACCGTGGAACCTGACAGAGAATGGAATGAAATTAATTGTCACTATCTCAGTCATTTCTTTGTTTTCTAACAGTGAGACGACACCACTTCGAGTTGTTTTTGAAGCTAATGCCGGTAGAAAGTCGCTGAATCATTGTCTACACAGTATTATGAACAGTACTGTAGTGTGATTTGCGGTTTATCTTATTTATCTCATCCAAGTGAATGATGTTATTTGTGTAGTTAGTTAAAACTTCTATTGGAGAAAGTTTTTAATTATTGATAAAAGTTACAGGTCCAATCAATTTTAAAGGACGATAGTCCAAAATAGATGAAAATAATTACAACTACAGCCAAATTATGACAAAGTTTGATTTTTTACCAATTCTAGTTATTTATGTCCAATGTGATAATTATTGTTGGTCATATTTCATTAATATGATAATTAAGTTAATCTTTTTCTGAGTGTGTTTCTTGTCGTCATGGAGGAAAAAATGTGGTTCATATGATAATAAACAGTTTACTTTGATGTGTTGATTCAGAAAACATTGAACAATGGCTTTGTTTTGAGTCAATAGAAATAAAAAAAAAATGGAAAATTATAATTGCAATATTGTATATTGTGCCAGGAAAAAACTTTGCTTATTAAAGGGATTGTAAAGAGGTTTTCCATCCTTTTTATGTGTATCGGGTTCATATTTGACTTCTATTTGGGACATTCCAATTCTTCGTCCGATGCCTGTGGTTCTTGCAATTCCAGAAAGAGTTAACCGGAAATGACGCAGCTCCTGCAAGAGAATTCGTTACCAACCCACCACCTTTCCTATAAACATTTTTTTTTATGTTATAAACTTTATCATAAATAAAACAAATCAAGACAAAGTTTTTCAATTTATCACATATGGAAACTAAAGATTCGCACAACAAAAAATAGAAAAGATTATCTAATTTAAACATTCTGATATGTAATATGAAAGTAAAAGGTTTTACATATTTACATTAAAATGTACAATAAACACCAAAATATGAGCACTTGGA